CTTTGTTCCTTGCAACGTGGGCCTCTACACAGGCTTACCGGAGTGTCCTCACAGCATGGCAGCCAACTCCCACCAGAGTGGGTGATCCAGAGAGAGAGAGAGAAGAGATATAGAAGTTATAATGCCTTTTATGACACCCTTGGATATTACACTCTGTCATTTCTGTCACATTCTGTTCAATACAATAGTCACAAAAAACAGCCCACATTCAAAGGGTGGGATAAGTAAGCTCCACCTCCTAAGAGAGGAGGAGTATAGAAATGTTAGAGGGCATATTTTAAAATTATCACAACCATTGAGTGTCTATCTTATCATTAATTAATTAATTGTTTTATCTAATGCTACAAGAAGTCACAAAGAAATAAACTAAAAGGCAGTCCATTAGTTCCCTCTAAGAGGTAACTAATATTTGTGGAGCACCTACTGCATGTAATTGTACTGAATTCTTAATGTTTGTTGTCTGATTTAATCCCCTGACTACATTCTAAACGGGATGTTGTGTTTGTTTAATGTCACAACAATGACTTCTATAGGTGTTAGTAACTCTCAAAAGCATACTGTAGGTAGACCGTTAGGCAGAAGTAAAAGAGTGTTTGCTGTGGTAGAATCGCTAGTATAGGACTTTGATCCAGTGTGACTGCAGAGAGATTTTGTTTGATATGCAAAATACTTTACTTTTTTTAAACTTAGTGTTCTAGTTTGTTTTTAACTTTTTTATCATTAATATACAATCCAATAAGCAACATTGTGCTTAGTAGATTCCCCCCATTATCAAGTCCCACCACAGACCCCATTATAGTCACTGTCCATCAGTGTAGTAAGATGCTATAGAGTCACTGCTTGTCTTCTCTGTGCTGTACTGCCTTCCCCGTGCCCCCTCCTCCTACGTTATGTGTGCTAATTGTAGTTTCCCTTAATACCCTTATCCCTCCCTTCCCACCGATCCTCCCCAGTCCCTTTCCTTTGGTAATTGTTGGTCCATTCTTGGGTTCTGTGAGTCTGCTGCTGTTTTGTTCCTTCAGTTTTTTACTTTATGGTTTCTAAAGATTAGTTTGCCATATTTAAAAATTAGGAGACTTCAACTGAAATTCAGAAATTTGTATCTTGGACTTCTTTGAAACAATGAAGCATTTCTCTATCACAACAATCAGTGAAAGTGAGAAATGAATTGAATGAAATCAGTGAATTGAGTAGATGTATATTTTTAGGCCATCATCTAAGTTTGTCGTAATCCCTCCTAACAAGTTTTGCCTATTTATCTTTCTAATCCATGTAGACATTTAAATATGGCTGGTTAAAGATCATATAATAAACAATTAATGAAGAAAAAAATACTAAAATTTTTCAATGTGTAATTTTCAAACAATTAAAAACATGACTCATGAAAATATAACATGTTAATGAATCATTTAGCTCATTAATGAATTTATTAATAAGCAAGATGGTAAATCTGTTTCAAGTAAGTATGGGAAAAGCTGAAGTGTTTATAATTCATGAAAAGAAAAAAATGCTGGTTCAAGATTGTAAGGTTAAATATAAAACTATTTAGTGTTGTACAGGACAATAAAACTGGGGTTATCTTTACTACCTAATGGAAATCATTTGCATCTCTATTGAACAAAAATTATTTGCCATCTATCAATGTACAATTGATGTGTAAATTCAGAGAGATTAGGACTTAGTCAATATTAAATTGAAAGTTAAACAAAAGTGTATTCCACATGAGAATTGACTAATCTTTGAAGGGGCCTTTTAGACAATGATCCCATATGACACTGAAATGAGATGCACACATCCTTTTCATTTTTTCTTGCTTTGACTTTTGTTGTCAATAATTTTGTGGCAAGGACTACTCTATTGAATAGTAATTGAGTAGGTGTATTATTTTGCCAGAGCTGCCATAACAAAATACCAGTTTGGGTTGCTCAAACAACAGAAATCCATTTTCTCACTGGAAGTCCGAGATCAAGGTGCCAACAGGGTTGGACACCTCTAGGGGCTTCTCTCCTTGGCTTGCAGATGGTATGTGCAGGCTTCCCACACTAATCTCTTTTTATAAGCACAGCAGTCAGATTGGGTTCAGACCCACCCTAATGGTCTCATTTAACTTAGTCATCTTTTTAAAGACTTTATCTCCAAATGCAGTTACATTCTGAGGTACTGGGAATTAGAACATCAATCTATGAATTCTGAGGGGAGACAATTCAGTCCATAAACACTAAATATACGTTTTAGTGAATTAAAACTATTTAAATTCTACATTCAACTCTGGTAGCTAATTACTTATCTTATGATGTGAAAAAATTTGATGTGCCATTTTTTATCCAATTCATAAGTATTTGTCATCTTAATTTTTTTGGTTTGTTTTACTTTGCCCTTGAATTTTGTAATTAATTTCCACTGGGTACAACTTTAAGTTTCAGATTTAACAAATACTGAGTTTTAGTAACATTGTTAATAATTATTTATATTTATACAGAACACTTTTAAAGTTTTAAAGGACTTTTGATATTTTCTCATTGTTTTTTGAATTTTACCAATATCGATATTAAGATTATTTTGGAGATATGAGCAGCTTTTGGCAATTGGAAATTCTGAATAACGTTAAGACCCATTTCAAGAGAACAGTGAAGTTTGATTGTAGAATGAATAGAAGGCAACAAGATAACATAATAGCAAAGACATATTTAAAATTTTGTTGTGGTAACAGTAAAGTAATAAAGAAGTTACTAAAAATGTAGAGATTTTTTCTTAATGCCATAAAATGGTTACAGTTATCTTCAGCAATTTCCTATGAACTTTGTTATATTTCAGCAAAATGAACATGAAATAATGAATCCGTTGTCTAGAAAATTCACCTCTTAAAATGTTCAAATCATTTTAACCAAATTTATTTACTTATCCATCTATCTCTGTCTATCTTTTGGCTTGCGTACTTGAACTCTGTCTAATTGCCTTAATTCTCCAATCTTAGTAAAACTTGCACTAAAGCAGACAGAAACTTCAAATATAAGAAAAAGAAACAAAACCAATTCCCACAATTACTACGTGTTTGGCTAATTATTAGGTACTTTAGTGAGACCTTGCTGCTTCAGACGTGGATGGCTGTTAACAATACCTATTGTTTCAGTAGCAGAGAATCTTTCTGCAATGATTCGAATTGAAAGAAGGTGTGAATGCTGTCAAACAGTTGTTTTGTTTGAAATTACAATTGCATAGACTAAACCAACCTGCTGCCTAGAATGAGGGATGGGTCACTGAATGGACTCTGGCACATACTTTATCTGAACCCAAGGTATTTGAAATGACAGTTGGAATAGTGGGTTCTGTGCTCAAGCTGATATAAAATGCAAAAAGAACAAAAAACAAAGCATGCATTTCCAGATTTCTGGAGATAGAGAAGTAGTTCCGATTTTAGAAAGTCTGGTTGCTAAACTGGTTGAGAAAAAGCTTCATGTAGTTGGTGGAACATTTAAATGCTTACATACAGACTATGAAATTCAGGAATGAAACTGTCATCAGTAGTTTAAAAATGTATATCCGATGAATGGCAAAATCCACTTCCTGCTTGTCCTTAAAGGACATGATAGAAATTCCCACAAAGTCGTTGCTTTGTCTACCGTGCTCTGACAATATAGTGTTGTTAATAATAATGATGGTACAGCTGTTCACGTTAGTCTCTCTTTTCAGGGAATATCATTAACTGAAGCAGCATGTTACTAAGAAGTATTTTGAAGCAGAGACTAGGAAGACTAGTTAGGTTCAGGTTGCAGAAGGAAACTGCTTAGTCAATCATGAATCATAAACCTATTGTAAGTTCAAACAAGGAGGCATCAAAGTTTAATTTCCAATAGATTTAAAAAATATGACTGTCATACAATTAAGGAATGAATATGGACATTTATTTATATAGCGTTATTGAGGGAACAAGCCCCATATTGCTAAGCTAAAAGCATTATTAAAATTGGATATTTACAGGCATATTTAAAGAACAGGAGTGTTTAAATAAGATGTGTCAGCTAAATATAAAAGTGGTTAATGCCTCACAAGGTAATCCTTTGTGGTTCTGCTTCCTACCAGATAAATATTTACAAATTAGCTTGAGATTTCAGAGTGTACAGGCCTGATCAAATAGAAAACACTCAAGTCAAACACAGATTCTTCTGGAGCTGGACTAGCCATAGAACTGTGAACTACCTACATATTTTTTATTTAAATTTGAATTAATTAAAATAAAATTAAAAATAAAGATTCACTTTCCCAGCCACACTAGCTACATTTTAAGTGCTCACCAGGCACATCTGGCTAGTGGCTGTTAGTTAGCATTTGGTTGTTGGACAGCGTAAACACAGAATATTTCCATCACCACAGAAGTACTATTAACAGCACCCTTCTAGAGAATTAATCTCTGAGCAGACCTGTGTTATAAGTCTATGTATTCCACTGAAAGAACATATCATCCCTCCTTTTGCTTTATTTCCAATTTTTTAATACATTTTGTAAACAAAGGATTTGTTTTTTTCTACTTTTTCTACCCTGCCTTTTTTTAATAGAAGAAGATCTGAAAATAAGGATTTACCTTAAGTTCACACAAAGTTTACTCCTCTTACTCCTGAAGAGTTTAGCTGTGCCATTGAATTAATTATGCCCTTTGGTGTCAATGAACTATTTTGGACAAATGCAAAAGCTATAAGAAAGATTTTATTGCACATGTGTATATTTTAGCATTTAGAAACTCTTTGTCCATTTATCTAGGTCATTATCAATCCTTATATAGCAAGAAAAAAGTTACTGGTAAGTAGTTATTGTTTTAAAAAATAATTAAATCACTTAATTTGGCATACCAAAAAAATTATCTTTGCAGTTTTTTTTTTAATCCTAAAACTACCTATATTTTTGAAATATCCCCTCATGATGTGGGTTGACTTATATACTCTTAGGCTTATGGTACTAGATTTCCACCTATGATTCAATGATTTTGTGTGTGTATATTTTTTCAGATGTGCAACAAATGGCGATTGATTGGCTCACCAGGAATCTCTATTTTGTGGACCATGTCAGTGACCGGATCTTTGTTTGTAATTACAACGGGTCAGTATGTGTCACCCTGATTGATCTGGAGCTTCATAATCCTAAGGCGATAGCAGTAGACCCAATAGCAGGGTAAGAAATTCTTCTTTTTAGTGTTTGATATGAAATACTTTCCATTAACAAATAATAAAAGATCAAGAATCTGATGACAGTTTTGGAATACAGTAGAAGCTCAACATTTTTTTTTTAACGTTGGTTTCAACAACTGCATTGCAGGAAGGAAGGAAGACTCTAATTTACAATGCAAAAAATGGGGACTACCAACTCCTTAACACATCAATATTGCAGGCCCAACCTAAGACACAAACAACCTGCCATTCTCCCAAGTATTGCTTTGGGGTCCCTGAGAAGAGCCTAGGATAGTTTTAGGTTAAAGAGAATAGTTAAGTTTCTTAGCAGTGGACCTGGCAGTTAGCAATCTTCAAAAATGCTACTTTAAATATGTGCTATTAGCAACCCTACATCCAGCACAATACTCAGGTTTAATAAAAGGGGTGTACGTGTATATAATGCATGCTCAAGAGTACTACTAAAACATTAAGGCTGTCTTTGTTAGTTGAGACTTTTTTCTAGCTACTGCTATGCAAACACTATATTATTATGAAATTTCTGAGTTCTTCATCAGAATCTTCCACTTTTTTTTAAATTTTCTGATTTTCCAAGCCATTTTATTGCTTAAAAATTAAAAAGAGGCCTTAATCTTATCTGATCTCCTTCAGCTAATAGACTCATTCATTTTTTTCTTAATGTTTTACAATTTGTCAAAACATAGTCATAAATGTTTAAATGTCCATCAACTTTGTTCAATATTATTAGCAATTCAAGACAGGGATTATGCTCTAATTTTATAAGTGTTATGATATTATTAGAAGGGGGGAGCCAAATATGAATAGAGCCCTATGAATTTGGTTCCATCACAGTCATTATCAGGCAGGGATGCTCACAAACTAATGATGTAGTTGGATAAGTTTATTTGGAGGAGCTGTTTTTTCAGATGTAAGTTGTAGCAAGATTGCAAACTGAAATTGTATCCTTGTCATTGTTTTAATTGTCCCCAGGCAGTTCAGGCTGAAAAGTCTGATGGATATATCCTAAACTGCCATAAGCCTCCATGCAAAAAATGGGAAAATATTTACTGAAGAAACAGCTGTCATCCATATGTGGACTTTTGTCACTCTTTACTTAAAGTCTGATTGAATATTAAGATACATCATCACAATGGTTCTGATTTTGACAAGAACAGCTTGCACATAAGAACTCTGCTAGAGAGGCTGTATGATATGATTCTTGAATGTACTGCTGTTTGTATTTGCAGCAGATGGTTACTTGACTCAGTCTGACTGCAGTGATGCTTCAGGCTTCAAAAGACATTAGTGAGAGAAGTTGTGTTTAAACTGATTTGTTTGTGTTGTTGGATAAGGGTACTAAGAAAGAATTGAAAATTTACAAATGTGCTAACAGCATTCTCTTGGAATTTTGTGTTGGAATATATTTACTTGCGTGCTTTTCCCTGGATGTGCTAACTGAATTTCAAATTAGCCTTTAGACAGTCTCGTCTGTCAAAAATGTTAAAAGGTGAGGCTATTGTGTTTTTCTGTCATCCTGCCACTCTTATCCTTTCTCATGCTTAAAAAACAAAGATCCAGAGACCCTTTTCAGATAAAACTGCCAATCTGAAATATATGTGAACACCACCTCCCTTTCTGAACAGTAACATATTTTGTGTTCCTAAATACCATCCTGTTTCTCCCTGTCACTCCATGAAAGAACCATATTTTGTATTTTTGTCAAAGGAATTGGGAGTAGAAACCCCCCACATTATTTGCACTTATTCTCTGCTGGATTCCTTTGGGCCTAGTAACTGTTTAAATGTAATTTTGTCATGTGTCATTTATCACAATAGGTTCTTTGGAATTCTCTGAGTTTGTTCTGTCTCTCTAGCACAGTTTTTCAATCATGAATCATAAAAATCAGAGAACAGAATGCTCTGCTCTTTTGTAAAGATAAGGCTGCTTGCAATAGGACACTTTCAAATATATTTTACTTTTCTCTTAATAGCAGAAATTTGGCTCCATTAATGTGATGGTATCTAAGGAAGGAACAGTAGGCTTTTCCTTTTAGTTCTACCTTTGGGCCTGCTCAAGAACCATTTGAATTCTGGGGCTAGAACAACTCTGCATGACTTACTAAAGGACCAGTGTGCCACCTACGAAATTTCTCCTGCCTTTTCCTAATTGTATAGGCTGATGTATCCTTGGCTCTCTCTGTTACGGCTTCAGTTCAGAACACATCAGAATGTATTAAGAGTCTGACTTGACGAGATCTTGACTTTAATAGGAATGAAAATGGAGGGAGATTTGCCTTTTTCCCCAAAGGCTGCTCTGAAAAACTGTCTGACACTTGGCTCTCCCTTTCACTTCACTTTTCTTGACCTCCTGTTCTGTGTTTATCTAATGACTATTACACCACTTTCATTATCTTTTTCAAATTAAAAAAAAATTAGTTCTTCATAGGTTGAATATAGACTACTAATTTTCTTTGGACTCTCAATATGATTTGAACCAGAATCCAATCCAAATATGGCAGGAAGAGATTGTTTATAAACCTTGTTTGATCGTTCTCTTGTTTTTTTAGATGTTGGCATGACTCATTAATTCAAGCTCATTTTCTGTAGATGCTTCTTGAGGTTTTCTTCTTTCTTTCAAATTTTATCAATATTTTCTTAACCAATGGTTCCTTGAAGAAATTTCCAAAAATATTCCTATAGAGTCATAGAGTTGGAAGGTAGCATATCAATGTGCATTCAACCAATATCAAAAACAACACTTCAGGCAGTGGTTGTTCGGGCTTTGCCTGTTTAACGGGTAAGCGCTTGATGCTGGAGTCACTCACCCTAGGATCGAATCCTGGCTCCACACATTACTAGCTATGTGATTTTGGATGCCTCTTGATACGTTTTTTTTCTCATCTTAAAAATGTGAATAATGATAATCCTCCCCTAAGGGGCTATTGTGAAGACTAAATAAGGTCAAACATATAAAGCACTTTCATAATTTCTGAGCTACAGAATATATGAATATTCTTTTTCATGTAGCCTCAAAAATAACTACTAATAGTGTCTACACTTATGATACCAGTGTGAATAGATGAGATGATGAATAATGGGTGACATTCCTCCCCATTAAAGATGATCTTCTCATTTCCATCCCTGTTCTCTTTCTACTACAAACCCTCCTAAGATGGTTTACTTTATATGGACTAAATTTATTGTATAATAAAGTACTGAGAAAGAAGTAGGGAAATGAGAAAAAAAGTGGTATAATTTGAGAATAAAGATGAAGTATATATACAATATTGGAGGAGAGAAGTACAGAACAACTATGAATATAGGGAAGAAAGAAGCAGAAGAAACATTATTTTAATAATTTTGTGCACAATGTATTTGGTTTACCTTCAAGGTTTTCCAAAGATAAAGGTAAAGAATAAAATCCTTTCATAGTTACCTTTGTCAATTGAACTGTATTTTTTAATATGACATTGTTTCAGTTACAAACCAGGTAACAAAAGTAGTAAAGTAGTATTTGGGCCTAGTGAGAGTTTTAACTGATGACAGGAGTGAACCTAGTTTACAACTGTGGTTCTAAGGTGTGGCCCTGAGCTTCCTATTAAATTAAAATCATCACACTTAACTTGAGATGAGTGCATTTTACCCATCAATGTTAAATCGTTGCAAAAGAGGAGCTCATTTCATGCTAAGCATGGTAATATAAAATAATACAATTAAAGAGCTATTTTAGTGACTGTACTGAGGTTGAAACTGACAATTTGGGAAAAAAAATACGTTTTAGAGGACTTAGGGTACCATGTATAAAGCCTACACTCAATAAGAGCTATGTGAGATGGGTAAATTGAGAGAGGGGAAGACTTCAATGTCATGTAAAAAAGCAGAAATTGAGTATTTTCCAGGTATAGTGTCTACCTTTGTCCTTTGCAGGATGGGCTTTTGATTGTAGAGAATGAATAACAGAGTGATATTTAGAATTTATCTGTGAATTCAAGACCGTGTGTCAGTACTGACTGTGGGGAAGTATATGGCCTTTGTTATTTTCAAGGGCAGGCCATCTGCAGGAGACAGAGAAGTAAAGATCAACTCTCAGAACTTGAATTCACACAGGAATGATTGACAGTATTTAATAGTTAATATATCCTTTCCCATCATCCAACTGGATACGCACTATTGGTGAAACAATCATAGTTAAAGAATTTAAAGATAGAATCACAGTTAATAGCCATCAAACAATTGGACTGACTAATGAAATTCTGATCTGAGATGCTGTGTGAATGTGGGAAACTAAAAAGTGAAACAGGTTTGCCTGTGCTCATGGAAGGGATTTTGCATCGGTGAGATCCTTGGGGTAGATACCAAGCTCCTTACTTCTGTTAGGTGGCTCCTGGAGTCAGCCCGGGTTCTAAGGTAGAGCCTGCATTTACTATTTACTTGCAATAGGACATAAGTAGAATTGTTGCAGACCTTTGGGTGTTAAACCCTTCAGACTAGACTGTGGGCAAATTACACCTATAGACTGTACCCCAACAACTACCCATATCTACTGATTTGAGGATTCAGATGGTTCTGCAGTTGATACCAGTCTGAATATTAGAAAGCATCTGAAGACATGCCCCTGTGCATTCTTTTTAACTTTATTGAAGGTTAAAAAGGTTATCAGCCTTGGAGAATTGAATGCTCATCTGCAATTCATAATTACCCCTATTTTTTTGAAATTCATATTTGCTTTTTGATAGGTTACAGATTATAAGTCCTGACTTTTTATGGAAGAACTATCCTGTATGTACAACCACAAAAACTAGATATAGATGGATAATAGATATAGTTACAAATACAAACATAAATATAGACATCTACTAGCCTCATTCACCACTTCAATATAGCTGCATGACAGATTCCCACAATCAGAAGCACTTCCCCATAGTTCAAGGAGAGCTATGTTTCTTGAAAACTCTGTACACTTAGTTTCTCTGAGAATCTTCTGGTATGTTCTGTTTCATAGGGG